TCTTTTATCAGAACACGTACATCAGTGACGAGACCACGAGAGCTCTTTTGTCCGTTGTTGACGGGGTAGAGTTAGTGGTCACACCAGCTTCCATAGCCGAGGTTCTCCACTGTTCCATGGACACCTGTGCCCTAAAACCGTCTGGTTTGGGAGTCATTGGCCCAATGCTTGTTACATGGGTTGATTAGAAAGCTTAATAGATCAGGACATTGCACAGTCTTTCAGAGAAAAAAAAAAAATGATAATCCTGGTTGCAAAAATTTAGTTTTACTATATATGTTAGGTGTTATTCTGAGTTACACTAGGCTATTATAGTGAACAGTTAACTAGTATGGAGATTGCACTTTACACCGAGGGTACTAATGATATGTCTACTAGCATTTACAAATACATGGAACTTAATTTTTGTAATACTGAATTGCAGTCATTGCTTAATAGATTCCTTCATGCTCGTCCGTTGTGCCTTCAATGTCTCATCATGTCTTAATATCACACTGTAATGGCACATAAGTTGATTGTTGGGTGGAGTAGTGTGGTTAATTGTTATTGAGCAGATATGAATACGTTGATGTTTGTGGGTATCATTTCTAGAAGCCCTCACGTGGGGTAAACTTGTGGTTGCAAAATGCAATCATGATTCCTACGAAAATGGCCTAAAGCTATTTTACTTTTCTTATTTCTTTTGTTTTGCTCGAGGAATAGCAAAATGTAAGTTAGGGGATTGTGATGTAGGCCGAAAGGTACCACATGGAGGCCACTTAAGTTACATTTCAATATTTGTTTATTTGGTGGAGATGATGTTTTTTGTGCATTTGTACAGATTTGGCAGGCAACACGCAAATTCAATCAAAAAAGGCGCGAAAGCAAACTTTGTGCAAGGAGCAAAAAATCCTAGCCTACCACCTCACTGCACGTGCGGCCCACCACTCGCTCGAACAGCCCACATGGGCACTCGAGTGGCCCACCTAGGGATCCGTGCGAGGAAAATTCAGTCTATTCTGTTGGGAATAAAAGGAAAAAAATAAGCTGCTCAAAGCGTTCGAAATTATTTCAGAGAAAAAGGAGAGAGAGAGGCTAGGGTTTGGAGAACAAAAATGAATAATGTCTCCCATGGTGGTTTCTTCCTCTTCCCACTCCTCCATGAGTGGCAGTTCTTCTAATTTTAAGGTTTTGATGAAACCTTAGCCATGTAAAGAAATTTTTCTCAGGCTTTGATCGTTAAACGATTTGAATAAATGTATGGATGCTTTAGAAGTTTATCATAATTTTCTTTTTCACCTCTTCAAGTGTTTTACTCTCTATAATTGTTTAATACTTTCCATACATTAGTTTTCTTTGTGTTTATGTTCAAAGTATGAGACGAATCATGCTACAAGAGACGGGTCGTGTTGCTACCATAATTTAGAGCAAACACCTCATGCTACTTGAGATGATTCGTGCCTGTACATTGAATGCAACAAGATCAATGTTTCAAACTTGTAGTTGTGAAATATTAGGTAGTTCAAACCGGAGTGCAATTGATGGCCGATGTTAAGTTTTATTTATGTAGTTAGTTTGCCCTAGTATTTTTCAAAAAATTAGTATCTAAAACCCTAATTTTAATTGTCAATTTAATTTCTCAATTTCATTTAATTCTCGTTTAGTCATAATATCCCTTAACCTTTTTATCAAAATTAATTTAGGAATTTAACAATTAAATTAGTTTAATTTCCCGTTAGTCCCTCTGGATCGATACCTGAACTTACCATTATTCTAAGGAATTAGATATAGTTTAGTGCTTATTTTTGGTATGTAAAATGACCCATCACCTCCCCAAGGGGAGCCAATGTGTATGACCAAAGAGCAATATCAGGCTTATCTAGATGGCTAGATGCATCTTCAGCGCTCTATGGATTACGCACTGATTTCGCTCAGTCCTGTGAGCACATGTGCATACCTTGCAGACAGATTTTCAGGCCTTTTAGGCGCAATCTCGTCAAGATGCCTACGAGACCCCACACTATGTTGCAAGCTCTCCTCGGTCATTGTCCTCCACCACCTTCTGATGCTTCTGGCCCATGAGCCCTACACATTCTATTTTGTATATTTGTACTTAAATATGAATTTGTGGTGCTGATGGGAACACAATCTAGTGATAGTCTTCTTTTGCATTTATTTGTTTAATTGTCTCTCATTCGCATTTATTTCAAACAATGTCATTTTAGTTGGGGGGGTGGGGGTACACCTTGATTCACACATGAGAATTATGAGCACTGAAACACTTGATATTTTGCACCACCACAACTATTGTTTTTCATGACATCTTAGAATATAGCGAGGGGGTGTTCATGATTAACATAATGTGAGCGTGTATAGCAAGGGTCTATTTGACTAGTAGTGATAATTCTGCACTTTGTCTTTCACGAGCATAGTTCTGACTAGGTTAATTGCAATATTTGTTATCTAGGATTGTGTTCTTGACTCCTACTGTGACTGATCCTTCAAAGTTAAAAATTAAAAATTAAAAATTAAAATTAAAATAAATAAATATATAAATAAAAAGTGACTAGTTTGGATTCGTAACCTTTTTAACTCAAGTTATTAATAAAAAGTGACCCTTGCTATACACGCTCACATTGGGGTGTCTTCACACCTAGTGCCCTAAAACCATCTGATTTGGGAGTCATTGGCCTAATACTTGTTATACTGGTTAATTAGAAAGCTTAAGGACCTAGACCTCGCACGGTCACTGAATAAAAAGATGACTAGTTTGTATTTATAGCCTTGTTAACTCGAGTTATTAAGCTCGTTGGGGTGTCTCTACACCTAATGCCCTAAAGCCATCTGGTTTGGGAGTCATTAGCCCAACACTCGCTACATGGGTTAACTAGAAAGCTTAAGAAATCTAGACATTGCAATCTCTTTCCAAAAAATAAATAAATAATAACTTTGAAGGTGGGGGGTGGGGTTGTGCTATGAGGCTTTAAGAACACTTGATTAGATACTTTGATAATTCACTGATTGTTGAGCTTCACATTACACGTGAGGTGCAAATATTACATCTCTCGACGTTTCACATGCTCATATTAATTGATCTATGCATAGCACAAATATTGAATAATCCATGAGATGAAGTCAAATATCTTTCATTAATTGGTGTGAGATATTGGGGAGTGTAACTTCAGCAAATGATTCAAATGTTGTGAATGAGGTGTACTGTATATTGAATGTTTGTGGGTATCATTTCTGGAAACCCTCACGAGACTAAACTCATCCACTTGGGGTAACTTTATGGTTTAAAGGTTTGTTGCATACATGCTAAAAGAGCATATACCTAGATTTTGCTTTGTTTTTCTTTCTTCGTTTCCTTGCTCAAGGGACTAGCAAGTTGTAAGTTAGGGGGTGTGATTGAAGCCAAAATGTACATCATTGAGGCCAATAATTGAGATTTCTTTGTTTCCTTGCTCAAGGGCTAGCAAGTTGTAAGTTAGGGGGTGTGATTGAGGCCAAAATGTACATCATTGAGGCCAATAATTGAGATTTATTTGTTTCCTTGCTCGAAGACTAGCAAGTTGTAAGTTGAGGGTGTGATTAAAGCCAAAATGTACAGCATTGAGGCCTATAATTGAGATTTCTTAACCCTCTCCTTGATGTAATTTTGTATATTTTACTAGTGTTTGATGTGAATAAGATTGGACGCATTTGAAGTACAAAATGAGCAAAAAAATAGAACTTTAACTGAAAATTCATTCCCGCACATGCAGAGGGTCATTTCCCGCACATGCGGCTTCTCATCCTGAAGTCAAAACATTCTGAAAAATCCACACATGCGGAGGATTTTTCCCACACGTGCGATGACATTTCCCGCACGTACGGCCCAAACTCGTTTTGCATGCGTGACTTTGTAGAGAGGGGTTCAAATATTTTTCTAAAGAAAAAAGAGGCTAGGGTTTGGAGAGAAAAAGCTTGGAGCTTCAAATGTCTTCCATGGTGACTTCTCCTTCTACCTCTTCTCACTCCTCCATAAGTAGTCTTCCATTTTCTCGGGTTTTGATGAAACCCTAACCATGTAAAGAGATTTTTCTCAGGCTTTGATTGTGTAATAGTTTGAATAAATGTATGAATGTTTTAGAAGTTTATAATAATATTTCTTTTTATCTTCAAGTATTTTACTTTCTATTGTTAAATGCTTTCCATACATTCGTTTTCTTTGTGTTTGTGTTTGTGTTTGTGTTCAAAGTATGAGATGAGTCATGCTACAAGAGACAAGTCGTGTTGCTACCGTAGTTTAGAGCAAACGACTCGTGCTACTTGAAATGATTCATGCCTGCACATTGATTGCAACAATCCTCTTAGTAGTTCTTGTTCAAAAAAAAAAAAGGAACATTGGGTAGTTCTAACCGGATTGCAATTGATGGCCGAAGTTAAATCTTATTCATGTGGCCTAGTAGTGAATTCTTTGTCCTAGGATTTTTCAAAGTCAATATCTCAAACCCTAATCTTAATTGTCAATTCAATTTCTCAATTTCATTTTAATTCTCATTTAATATTGGGTATATGATACCTAGACTTACCATTATTTTAAAGAATTTTGGCATAGTTTAGTGTTTATTTTTGGTGTGCCAAACGACCCATGTTATACTATCTATAATATACCCAATCCTTTATAATGTTATCATATACCCAATCCTTTATCCAATCTAATCTCAAGGTATAACTTATTCCTCATAATACTATCAATAATGTTATTCATATCCAATCCCATAAGAAATTAATTCGACAATCAAACATGCCCCATACGTAAAAGAGAAAAAGAAGTTAGAGAGTGAATGTGAGAGAAGGCACTACTAGTAATATCATGCATCCATACCTGTCCCACAATTCATGCTACTAAAAACAAATTGCATGTATCCAAAGACAGAAGAACAAAATATTACTTATTGTATTGTAGCATAATAGATCATAAAGAAAATAGTGAACTTGCAAGAATCTTTGTTAGTGATTAGAAAGAAAAGAATGACCTGTAAAGTATGATCTGGCCCCTGTGTCCACCAACTTGCACAAGCATCAAATTGTTGCATGATGAAATCATGATTTAGTACCTATATTGAAAACAAAAACATGTAATTGAGATGAGCAGGCAATATTAAGATTTCACAAATCATGGAAAATTTGGGGGTAAAAAATGAATATCCGTCGAGGATCAGCGATAACCATTTTTGTCTTTAACAGAAACTAGTTTCAGCAAGAACAAATCAAAGAAACATTTGACAATTAAGATTAAAATTTGCTACAACCCTGCAACCAACACAATAATATGTGAACCTTATGAACAGCAAAGTGCTCGCCAAACCGGGAATCTATTACTGTAACAGCTTCTTCAGGTACAAGTTTGTGTTGAGTAAATGGCCACCATAAAATGTTTTGTGCCTTCTTTGGCATGTTACGCAGTCTGTCTATTCTCTCATTAAAAGCAGAAATCATTATTTCCTTGAGAGTATTAAAGACAGTCTGAGCTTCATCAAACCATTCCATCAAGTTGTCTGACATGTCTTGCGGAATAGATGGAAGCACAAGCACAGGGACCCTAAAGAAATAAGTAAAAAGTTATGATAAGCACAAAGGGGGAATAGAATGTCAAAACCAGAAACAAGCATAAGACCAACACAAACACACACATGTAGAGGTTCAGTGATAGTAGAGAAAATATCGGCCTTGTTTGGTTTGATTTTGGGAGAATTTTTTGGGAAATATACTCTACAAACACTTTTTTAAGAATAATCAAACCAAACAGATTTTCCCAAAAATACTCCCAGAAATGTGTTTGGTTATCCTATTTCCAGGATTACTTTTGAAACATGTTTGTAAAAAAGGCAAACCAAACAAGTTTTTGTACTTTTATCTCAAAAACTACTTTACAAAAAGGCAAATCAAATAAGTTTTTGTACTTTTTATCTCAAAAATTACTCTACAAAAGGCAAACCAAACAAGTTTTTGTACTTTTTTATCTCAAAAACTACTCTACAAAAAAAACCAAAGTCATTTTAGAGAGAATATTTGAAAAAAGACAAACCAAACAAGTTTTTGTACTTTTTATCTCAAAAACTACTCTACAAAAAAAAATCAAAATTATTTTAGAGAGAATATTTAGAAAAAGGCAAACCAAACAAGTTTTTGTACTCTTTTATCTCAAAAACTACTCTACAAACACAAACCAAACACACATCATATTCTGCAAATGGCCAACTACAAGACCATGCACCTCTTAAATATAAACAAGAAAGAATTAAGTCCAATAGAATAAACAAAGAGGAACTTGTTACCTATTTCGTAAATAAGACAACAATGGAACCTCATTTTCAAGGCCATGATCTTCAAAAACAACAGCAACAACATCATAACCTCGAAGTTTTAAACTTTCGTAAGCTGAAATTGTTGATGAAATACCACCAAGGTGTCCATCCCCAACAAGAATAGCAGGTAACCGGAAAGGCCTGGTAACATGTTTAAGGACCTGAATCAAAGAGGAAAAATAATAATAATGATATGATTCTGTCAAATTAGACATATTTGTGGCCCAACTTGTATATTTAGGCTTTTACCCATTTGTATCAGCTTGATATGTGTATTTGAGATGTTTATATCAACAGAATACTTTGGTAATAACTATATCAAATTCACAAATTTGTCTGTTCTCCAAAACACTTCAGTGTCTGGATTGCTGTAGTAGAATTGTTACACATTACCATTGGGATCCATTTGTAGGATGCATATATCAAAGATGTGTAGCTGAATTTCAGTTAAGGAGCTAATCAAGGGATGAATTATTACATAAAAAGACATCGCAATGGAGGAAAGTGAATATCAGTTGATCCAAGAATGTTATTTTTCCATCAAAAACATAAACTCAGCATACAGGATAACATAGAGAGAGGAATATAATTCAAAATAGAGGAAAGCTTCTAAATATTTGGATATTTGGCCAAATATTTTGAAATAGCTTCATAATAATATATAAAAAATTAAATTAAATTAAAAAAAAAAACACTATATTGATTTTTAAGGGCCCTTTTGGCTGCGTGAATTACTTTATTTCATAAATTGAATTACAGAGGTTAATTTAAATTTGGGCCGACTCATGACAGATTTTGAGGGTATGTTTGGTTTGAGTTTGGGAGATGAGTTTTAGAGATAAAAAGTACGAAAAGTTGTTTGGTTTGGTTTTTTTCAAAAGATGTTTTGGAAAATTATTTTGAGAGAGAGTTTTGAAAAAAGTGATTGATTTGATGTGTATGAGAGAGAGATTTGTTTGGAAAACTTGTAAACCAAACAAGTTTTGGGAAATTTTTTTGGGAAATTTTTTTTGGTTTGATTACTTTTGAAAACTTATTTGTAGAGAATTTTTCCCAAAAATTTTTGGGAAACACAAACCAAACAAGGCCTGAATCTCTCATTTTTGAATCTCATGACAGATTTTGCATCAATTAGTGTAAACACTAGCGTACCAACTAGCGTTATGCCATTATTATTGACCTCATTTATTATGCAAATTACAAATACCTAAAACCTCTAAAATTATGTCACGTCATCGGTTAGTACACTAGTTAGTATATTAATTGGTACATATAGCATTATTCTTTTGGATTAGGTATTCCACATTCTAAAAAAAATCAAGATATACATTTTCCAAGTAAAATTTGTAGATTTTTGAGTTGTTTCATGTTTAGAACCAAATTCATAACGGTGGGACTACATGTACGGTGGGACTACATGTACCAATTAATATACACATTAGTGAACCAACTAGTATACACATTAGTGAACCAACTAGTGTTATGTCATTATTAATGACCCTACCTATTATACAAATTACAAATGCCCAAAACCTCTAAAATTACGTCACATCATGTGTTATTACACTAATCAGTACATTAATTAATATCTATAGCATTATTCAATTCATAATCATCTAATTTGTAAATGGCTATTAGCCAGCATGAAAAATGGCCAAATCAGTAGTTTTGAGACTCCTAAATGGGCTCTAGACATTTTCACTCCAATTTAAGTTCACCAACATAATTTACAAAATTCAAAATCTTCAAGCTATGCATTACAGGGTGTGACATGAAAATTTTAAAATGCAATAAATTAATCGCATACCGGTACAAGTCACATTGAAAAGAACCGGATGGCCCCGGACTCGCCACACCACCAGCAGTTTCAATCACACTCAAAACACGCACTTTATGATCACCTGCAAACCCTCCTTCCAAACCAATTCCCAAACTCCTCTTCAATATCCCCAACAACACTGAATCCTCCACCATTGCTCCTTCCCTCTCCGCAGCCAAATGAGCCGAAACCGCCTCTCTCCACCCATACATTGTCTTGCAAATCAATTCTGACGGTTTCGCAGTCACCTCCCCAACCTCCCCCTGTAGCTTCATCTCCTCATACCACCCTAAATCCCTAAACCCACTCTCCAATTCCCCACCCTCTTCAGTTTCCATCGCAATTTCTCCGCCCAAAAAAGATTGGGCAGCCGAAATTGAGGCCTTGAGGGCATGATTCGAAGCGAAAACAGTGGTCGAGGGCTGGCGGCGGAGAAAGATTTCGGAGAATTTCCGGTATACAAACCGGGAATCGGAGTCGATAGGGAAGCCCGTTTGGACTGGCTTGAGGTAGATGAATTTGGCAGCGGCGGCGGAGATGGTGGTGGAGGAGAGAGAAAGAGGAGAGAGAAAGGAGGTGGCGATGCCAGCGGAGACAAGGGTTTTGCCGACGCCAGTGTTGGAGCCCCAAATCATGTAAATAGGGTGAGAGAGAGTGTGGTCTAGGGATAGTGATTGGGTTGAGAACAGTCTGTGGAGGCGGCGGAGAGAGCTTTGATCGGAGAGGAAGCGGAGGCGAGTGGTGGTGGTGGTGAAGAGAGCAGAGATTGGGAACATTGTGAAAATGAAAACTAAAGACTGAAGAGCTAAATTAGGGTTTTTAACGGCTACACAACGTTCGATTTTTCTAATGTTTCTTGATATTAACGGCTACAAAACTTCACCTAGGGAAGCTAACAAATACAAGGCTCATCACAACCCAGTCATCTCAGCCCAGGCATCTCTTCCTTGGCCTTAATAGGGGGGGTTTTCCCAAAATAAACCAAAATATCATAGGCTTTTCCCGTATTAAGTTAAATTATCATCTTAATTCTCAAATTAGGCTTAGTTTAGACGGAATTCTCAAACTAGCCTAAAGCGCTATTACAAACCACGCTTTCACTGTTTGTAGCAGAAAATTTGTAAAATAGTGAAAGCGTAGTTACAAACCACATTTTTACTGTGCTTATTTTGTTTCGTGAAGAAAACGTGGTTCTAAACCACGCTTTCACTGTGCATATTGTTTTCTTAAGAAAGCATGATTCACTATCACGCTTTTCACTGTGCATTTGTTTTGTTAAGAAAATGTGATTCATAATCACGCTTTCACTGTTGATAAATGAAAGCGTGGATTGCAACCACACTTTTACAACTTATATAAAACCCCCAAGCCCCCTCATTTGCAATCATGTTTTTTACACTTACGTTTTTTTCGACTCTCGCTCTCGTTCTCCCCTCTGCTCTGCTCTCAGACTCTCGCTCTCACTCTCGCGCTCCCTCTGCTCTCAGACTCTCTCTCTGCTCTCTCTCTCTCTCTGTGGGCTGCTCTCTCTCGTTGGTATGGCATCTATCTCTCATTGTCTCATTTGAATTTTATGTGTTTATTGTGTTTGTGAAAATGTGAATGTGTGGTTTTGAATTGGTAAAAAATTGTTGTGGTTTTGAATTGTGAAAATTTTGTAGGGTTTTCAATTGAATGTGAAATCATAAATTATGAAATTAGAAATTAGGGTTATGAAATCATAAATGTGTTAGGGTTTTGAATTATGAAATGTGTGGTTAAATGTGTTAGGGTTTTGAATTATGAAATGTGTTAGGGTTTTAAATGTGTGATTATGAAATTATAAAATGTTAGGGTTTTGAATTGTGAAATCAGAAATTATGCTTGTGGTTTCAGAAATTAGGGTTTTGAATTTTGAATCGTATCTATATTTTTTGCATTGTGAATTGTGAATCCTGTCTATATTTTTTGAAATTAGGGTTTGGAATTTTGAATTGTGAATGAACCAACCTATATTTGTTGAATTGGAAATTTTATTTTTTGCTTGTTAATAAAAGGAATTTTTTTTAATTAAGAATAAAATTATGAGAATTGAAATCCATATAATTGAGAATTGTTAATGTCATATTATGAAATTCATATAATTGAGAATTGAAATTCATATAACCGCTGATGCTTCTAGTTTATGAGAATTGGTAATTGAAATATATTTTTAATATCATTAAAAATTATTATTTGTCTTAATGATTTATTAAGACAAAATTTTATTATAAATGGAATAATCATTTATTATTATAACGGAATAATGATTCTAGATGGGAGACTAAAAAATGACCATTTTTATGTCATTCTATCTCATTTCAATGACTAAATAAAACAAAAGGTATAAAATGACTAATTAAGTAATCAATCTTAGAGTTTGATACATTTCTTATACATATTATAATTGTTGTTTTAGATATATTTTATAAATTATATATTTCTATTCGTAAATCAAAACATATCGGATAAATTACACTCACATCTCTGAAGATAATATCTTACAAATTTAACATAATCACACCGACCTCTTTAGGCCGGGTTGAGTTCCACACGAACTTTGTCCAAAATGTTCACAGACTTGGGCCGAGCTCTTAGACAGGCTAGGAAAGACATTGCTTCAACATCATCCAGGTATTAGATCATCTTTATTAAAAAGAGAAAAAATATTTACAAACTTTGTTGAATTGAGAGGAAGAAAAACAAAAGATTCTGAAAAAGTCAAGTGTATAAAAAGTGAGGATTCGAGGGTATTGGTGAAGGATGAGGATATTATGTAAAGGTGAAAATGTTATTTTGAGAAAATGTTAAATGAAAAACATTTAGAAACTTTAGGAGAGAAATATGGTAGCATTGATGGAACTAGAGAGTGTAAGTTTTGTCATGTAATAAAGGAGTTTGAAGTGGAATTTATATTGAAGAGGATGAAAGCATTGGGATTGGATTGTATTCTTATTGTTGACATTGAAAATGCTTAGCTCTTGGTTAACAAAATTATTTGATAAGATTCTAATGATTAAGAAAATGTATGATGAGTGGAGAAAAAGTATATTTGTACCTATATATAAAAATAAAGGAAATATCTAAAATTGCAACAATTATAGATGTGTTGATGATTCATAAAATGAATGTGATAGAGGGTAATTGTTAGTTAATTAGTTTGGATTTATGCTAGGCCAATCAATTGTGGAAACCATATATTTACTAAGTAGATTAATGAAAACATGAAAAGAGAAGAGGGGTTTTCATATAGTTTTTTTAGATTTAGAAAAAAAACCTTACGATACGTTGCTTAGAGATATAATATAGTGGGTGTTAGAGGGACAAAAAATGTAACGAAGGAGTATATTGATGTGATAAAAATATGTATAATGAGGTTGTGACTACAATTAGTTCACCTGTTGGAGAAGCTAGTGAATTTTCAATCATTGTAGGACCTATACCAAAGGTAAGCTTTGAGTCCTTACCTATTGCCATAGTCATGGATGAATTAAGTAAACACAATCAGGAAGATGTCCCATGGTGTACGTTGTTCGCAAATGATATTGTTCTAGTGGATGAAACTAAGGGAGGAATTAACACTAAAAATTTGGAGATAATCATTTGAGTCAAAAGGGTTTAAAATTAGTAGCTAAATTGAATATGTAACTTTAGTAACAATGGAAGTAAAAATAATAAAGAAGTGATCCATAGAATCTAAGGGTAGGCATCGTGTTTGTGTTGTGTCATGTCATCTCAAATTCGTGTCAAAATTCTCTTAACACTAACACGATATTATTATTATTATTATTATTATTATTATTATTATTATTTGTTATTGTGTCATGTTATTTGGATTCATGTCTGATTCGTGCCAACGTATTACGCTAAAAAAATTGTTGTAATTAAAAATACTAAGTGTATGGAAAGATTAACGTTTTTTCCTAAGTTAAATTTCATGAAACTAATCTCTACTAAATGAAATTATTCAAAAAAAAAATATCTATTTAATTTTGACTCTATTTTATTCAAAAAAAATATATTTTTATCGACTTCAAAATAATAAATGAAAAGATCATGTTCTCTCAAATAAAAGACAAAATGACTATATTAACCTCAAAATACTATTTTACGTATTTTCTTTATTTAATTGCGTAGGCTACATAAGAGATTTAAACATTTCTAGCATCCTTTAATGAAAATAACATGAAATTATTCAAAAAAAAATATCTATTAAATTTTGACTCTATTTTATTCAAAAAAAAATATATTTTTATCGACTTCAAAATAATAAATGAAAAGATCATGTTCTCTAAAATAAAAGACAAAATGACTATATTAACCTCAAAATACTATTTTACGTATTTTCTTTATTTAATTGCGTAGGCTACATAAGAGATTTAAACATTTCTAGCATCCTTTAATGAAAATAACATTAAAATTTTTAACTAATTATCTATTAAATGGGTTATCTGTGTCAATTTCATATTATGCAGGTTTGACATAACCCTATTTATTTATCATGTTATTATATAGTGTCATATTTGTGTTTGTGTTGAAAATGTTCAACCCTAACCCCTAACTTCGTGTACGATTCATGTTGTGTTAGAAATTCCCACCTGTAATAGAATCAAAGTAGGTTCAAGTGGAGTGCCTTTGGCATATTATGTAATCAATGATGCTAACAAAATTAACGTTGTTAATTTATAAAACAATTGTAAGACCAGTGATACTTTGCAGATCACATAATATTGGACAATTAAGAAACAACAATCTCATGAAATGAGTGTAGTTAAGATGATGATGCTTAGGTGGGTGTTTGGTAAGTTTTGGACAGAGAGAAATAGAATTGAATATACATTAAATGGTAGGAGTAGCACCAATTGAAAATATGTTGAGAGAGAACAAACTAAGATGGTTTGGTATGTACAATGAAGACTAGCAGATGAAATGGTAGAGAAGAATGTGATAGGATCACCGTAAAAGGAAATGTTAGGGGAAGACGTAAATTGACTTGGGATGTGATAGTAAAAAAATTAAACGAATTTATTTAATTTAACCAGGCATGTAGCTTTTAATAGTACGAAATGACGAAAAAAGGATTCACGTATCGTAGCCCACTTGATTGGGACATAAAGCTTTATTTGGTTTAGTTTCGTTTGGTTTATTTCACTGTATTTGGGGTCAGGAACCCAAAATATTATAAAAAATTCTTAGGATTTATTTTCATTTGGGTTTCGCTAAAGGTTTCCACTTAGTTGTTAACTACCCAAATCCATACTTTAGGACATAGCTTATTGCAGGTGTCTGCATATAAGCACATAAGCACTTGTAAATTGTATGTTAGACCGAATTGCACTCTGCCCCTCCAAGCTAACCAACAAAAAAAACTGAATTTTGGGAGGTGCCACATTCTTCCACAACCATTTGGAAAATCAAACCAAACAATTTATTTTTGTCAAATTTATTTATATTTTTTCAAAAAAATCAAAAAATAATTTAAAAAATCAAACCAAACCGCTATATCATGTATTATTTTTAATATACATTTAATAAAATTAATAATTTTTATAAAAAATATTAACTTTGATATTAGAATAATTTGAAGACATTTCATCATAAGATACTAGCATTTAATTTTATAATCTTGTAATAGAAATTTTAAAAAAATTTAATGAGCTGAATTTGTAATACATATAATAGCATTATAGTAGAAATTAAAATTTCCTCACAAAACTTCAGAAAATTTGAAAAAGTTTTTGAAATGGGTATTGAACGAAGGGACTCATCGCCACTTCCACTTTGTAACTGTCCACCACCATTGAAAAGGAAAATCTTAACATTATGTTTTAATAATTTTATTTTGATTTATATAATAGAAGTCATTATTAATTGCACCATGCCTTCAGGCACGGGCATACACTAGTTATAATATATGCATGAAAAAAGTCTTAA